TCAAAGTTCTTACATCATGTATAAATGTTGAGAATGTTTACAATTTTCAGACCACAATTTGACATTTAAAACACACACACACACACACACACACACACACACACACACACAAACACACTGATTTCAAAAGATTGGTCAGCTTAGGATCTGAAGATTCATACACTGTTATTCAAATGCACAATGACATGCATCTGGAAGATGCCTTATAAGATTCAACTTTTAGATTTCAACAGATTTTCAGTGAGCATCTACTATGTGCCAGGTCCTCTTCTAGGTGCTGGGGAAAGTGCATTAGATATGGCAAGTAAATACCCTGCCGTCATGGAGAACTGATGTTGTGACATGGTGGTAGGATCATTACAAGAGGATGGAAATGGAAGTGGAGATGTCTTTGGGCTCAGACTTCAGAACTCACACATACATATATTCCATTGCACAAAACGAATTGAAGGCCAGCCCCAATTCAAGCTTGGGGAAACAGACCTGACTTCTACATCTGGTTCATCTAGTTATCCTGAGCAATGAGGTATTTTCACTCTCCCATGAGATTTGAGAAGATTAAGGCTGAGATAACTAAGCCAAACTTTTTCTTCTCAGTTATTTTAATACTGTGTGCAATAACATGAACATTAACCCTTGTAATATCATGCTGCAATTAAAGAAGCTAACATTTGAAAGAGCTATAGATATCTCTTCTCATGTCACTCACAAGGAAATGCTATTCAACTTATAGTCACTAACTGTTAACACTGAAAAGTATCACCCATCATTTTTTTGGTGAGAAAATATGACAGAGAGAAATGAAGTAATTTTACCGAAGTCACAGAGTTAATGACAAAGCCAAGATTTCTGATTCCGAACTGTATGCTCTTTGTATTATATCATGTTGCCTCTAAAGTTTTATTATAGCTGATGATTAAAGAAGTGAATTAATAGCTATGTTATTTATTACCAGAACCATGTTATTGAGAAATGGTTTACAACCATGCATAAGAGTTCAATTTCTCACATCGGATTGCCTGGATTTAAATTCTGTTCTGCCATGAACTATATAATGAACTCTATAGATTATATTAGGCAAGTAACGTAGCCTTTCTAAACTTTAATCTTCCCAGGTGCAAAAATGTGGATATTAACAGTACCCACCTTGTAGTTTATTAATGAAGATCCAATAAGGTCTGTCACACAGCCCTATTCCGGATTATGCTTATTCATAAGGATAATATTTATTTTATCAATAGGATTTTTATTAAGGTGAAATTAGCAAGTTCCGGTTTTCAGTATATCATTTCATAAGTTTATCAGTGTATAAGACTGTGTAATTAGATATAGAATATTTAATTTACCTCCAAAATTTATCTTGTGCCTCAACTATTATAGGCACACTCTGCTCTTATTTTAATCACATAGAATTCTCTTGCTGCCCTTGAAGATAATATAAACGGCATCATCAGACAGCATGTACTGTTTTTTGCCTGACTTCTTTTGCTTAACATAATATTTTTGAAATTTGACCGTGCTGTTGAATATATATGTTTGTATGTATATTACATATTTATATGTGTGCATTTATTTATATGTGTTATTCATAACATTAACATTATTATCTACTTTCCTAGTGATGATATTTGGATTGTTCCAACATTGAATGAATCTTCTACAGAATTCTTGTTCTAGGCTTTCTTTGGGGCACATATTTTTATTTTCTTTGATAAATATCTTGAGAAAGAATCAGTTGGTCATATGGAAAGAGAATATTTAACATTGTAAGAAACTGCTAAAATATTTTGCAAGTAGCTGTACTGTTTTTACATTCTCACCAGAAAGTATATGAGTTTTGTTTACTCTATATCCTCAAAATTTTTTGTTAATTTTGTAACTTTTGTTAATTATCCGTTTTGTTAATTTCAGCCATATAGTGCATATAAAAAGATAGCATTATAGTTTTAATTTCCATTTCTTTAATGAAAGCTGATAATAAAAACCTTACCATGTACTTATTAAATACACACATGCCTTTTTTCATAGAGTCTGTTCAAGTATTTGGACCTTTTTTATTGTGTTTTTACATGGTCATCACTGAGATTTAGAATTTCTTTATGTATACTAGATATATGTCCTTTGTTAGATATTTTCATTGTGAATATTTTTCTCCATATGTGACTTTGTAAGTTATGTAAATGTCTAATGACTATGCTGTACACCTGAAATTAATATAATATTCAATGTCAACTGTAATTTCAAAAATATTAAAAAATTAAAATAAAACCCATGCACAAACTTTTCTTTTTGGGCATTATACATTTTAGTTCTAGAATTCTCTTTTTTTGCTTTTAAAAAATAGTTTTCATATATTTGCTGAGATTCTCTACTGTACACTCATTGATCATATAACCATCGTGGCCATTTTTCTTTTAAGTTCTTGAACTATTAGAAATAGTTAATTGAATGTCTTTATTTTCTGGCTGTATTTCAGGTTTTGTTGGTTTATAAAGACTGCTACATTTTATATTTGTATTGACTTCAGAGAGGAAGGGAGAGGGAAAAAGAGATTGAAACATCAATGATGAGTATCATTGATCAGCTGCCTTCTGCACACCCCTTACTGGGGATCCAGCACAACCCTGGCATGTGCCCTGACTGGGAATTGAACCATGATCTCCTGGTTCATAGGTCCACACTCAATTACTGAGCCACGCTTACCAGGCTTAGTTGCTATTTTTTAATGTGTCTTATTATGCTGCACTTTGTATATCTCTTTTTTTACCATGTGTCAAACATGTTATATATTATCATCATTCCGATTTTTAGTACATCTCTGAAGAATGTCAGTATTTGTTCTAACAGGAGTTAAAATCTTAACAAATCACCTTAATCTTGTGCAGGATTAGTTTATATTGCTTCCAGATTAATTCCAGTTTTGCCCTTAGGCTTCCAGCAAATTCTTAGTTCTAAAACAGGGAAGGGTTATGGTACTTCTAGGGTTTTAAAGGAAAGTCTGAAATGCTTATTATTAAGACCCTCTCTCTGGTGGGATTCAAACTCCAATCTCATTATCCCCTGCAATGAGTGGCAGCTTAAATGTTGGCTCAGCTTTTTCAGGATTTTAGTTTTTGCTTTCTTCCAGGATTTTTGATGGTGTCTTTTCCCTCTTTCTGCCCCAAAACAAACATCTAAGGAAAGTTTGCATGTGAATTTGGAGTTTTACCTCTTGGTTGTTTCTTTGTTTTTATGATTTGCCCCTCAATTTGAGCCTCTCACTAAAAAAATAAATACAGAGCCATAAGCCACCTAAGTTTTGTGGGGCTTTTCTTTAAAAAAAAAAAAGGTAAATATAAAGAGGGCTGAAGTTTCACACAGTGCAGCAAGAAACAAAAAAATTTACTAAGAAAGGGGCTTACATTTGTATTGCCTCCAATTAAATCATTATAGAAAGAAGTAAATTGACTGGGTAGTGAATGTTGTTGTTGCTTTAATTGGATTATTCTCTAATCCCATAAATAAGTATCTAAAAGACATACAGGTGTCCCGGTGTGTCTGTTAGGCCCTTTTGGCTTCCTAGTCAGAATGTGTCTCCTCAAGCCTCTCTCATGAGCAGAAGCCACCAGTAATTATCTCTGCTTTCCTTGAGTATATTTTAGGGTTGAAGATGGAGTGTGGACCTACTCATCTCAGGTTCTATTCCTAAACCTCCTGGACTCCTTATTCATGTTGCCTCCTGGGAAGACTTAGTTCATATAGAAAAGGCACTGGCTTTGATATTACTTCCTGCTATGCTCCAGAATGGAGTCCAGTTGGTTCTCTTCACCTGCATCTCTAGATGAACAGCTTTGCTGTGGACTGGACTCTACAGGAACCTTGAAACACACCTCTACTTTCTTCTCCATGGTCAGTGAATGGAGTTCTCTCTGTGGTGGATGAACTGGGTGGTAATAGAGGGATGTCTCCCATGTATCAGTATCCATGGTAACATTCTAGGTAAGAAGGAAGCATGCTAACCACCACTCATTCACCACAGAAATTTTCAGGATTGTCACAAAGAGGGATGAAGAAAGAAGGTCAACCCTGCACAGCAAACATTATATTGTTAAAATGCCCTCTTGACCTCCCTGTGTCCAACTTCCCTTCAAAAAGTCCCCTCCTGTTTTACGGTTTATATTCTTTACCCAGGCAGTTGTCCCCATGCAGTTACATTATTCAATCTTCAAGTAGTTTGTGTCTTTCCATGTTCACTGCGGGGTGGAGAGCAGAAAAGGGAGGAGTGCATCATGGGGACACAGAATTTCTTCATGTCTTTCAAATCTATCAATGTTTGCTTCCTTCGGTCAAATTGAAAACCCATCAAATCTCTTTTTAAACAGGATGGTTTTACAGTGAAACAGCCATTCCTCCCCCACACTGGGCTCTCCCTCCCCCACACTGGGCTCTCCCTCCTCCTACTTGGCTCTCCCTCCCCCCACACTGTAATCAGGATTTCTAAGACTGCTCGATTTTAAATAAGGATTCTCGGCAGATCCGAGGAGACAAACCATTGGTGTACAGTTTACGGGCTTGCTAAAGCATCTCCTGGCTTTCCTGGGGATGAAAGCCAGCCTTGAATACTTGTGCGTGCAGTGAAGGGTTAAAAAGCACTAGAGAGACACAAGGCATGTGTTAATTACTGCTGCTGCAGCAGCATGCATTGCTTCCACTTTGACCTCATAGTTAATCTGCGTGGTAGCTGATCACGCAGAGATTCTTGTGGTTTTTATATGTCTTTTACACACACACACACACACACACACACACACACACACACACACGGCCCTGCCCCCTCTAAAAGAAAAATAAAAGCAAAGCAAGTAAATAAACCTACAAGGATGGAACTGGAGGGGTACGTGTGAGTGTAGTGTGAGGGACATGAGAGTGTGTATTAGGGTACCTACTTTCTCACCCCCCCCCTTATTTTTCTCTGAGTGTCTTTCCCTGTACCCTCCCCCTACCTCAATTATATTATTCCCCCAGACTTGGAAGCTGCTCCCCGAGCTGATGCTCTGATGGTATCTGCAAGCGTGTGTGCTGATCTTATTTCTGCCCTCTGAATATTAATTCCTGAAGCTGGTAGAAATATATCGCCCCAGTGACGGGACCTACTAGAGGCAGGTGGGGGGAGCCACCACCAGATCATAAGCATAATAATAATACAAAGGGGAGGGATTCTTCTGAGAGGCAAGAAGCAGGGGGGGGGGAGCGATGAGTTCGCCAAATATATGGAGCACAGGAAGCTCAGTCTACTGCACTCCTGTATTTTCACAGAAAATGACGGTGTGGATCCTGCTCCTGCTAACGCTCTACCCCGGGTAAGATGTGCTGTTTTCAGCTTCGTTTTGTTCCAGAGAGGTGGGGGAAGGGTGAGGATGTGGCACTACGGAGACCACCCAGATTGAAAACACTCTTCTAGGATTTGGGGCTTTGTAAATTAGGGGGATGTGAATGTGTGAGGAGTGGAGGCAGGGAGGAAAGAGGAAGGTCACTTTGGTTTATTTATTAATTTATCGCGTTGCTTTGTTTTGTTTTAGAGTGGGCAAGCTAATGTATTAAAGACTTTGTGTTTGAGGAGTAGCGTATTGATATTACCGCAAAATGATGTCTAGGTGGGCTGTGCTGATACATGCTGGCATTTGAGGCCATGTTGGAGGAGGCGTTTGGGGTGGGGGGTCTAGAGGAGAAAACTGCAAATGAGGTCCTGGCGTACACCTGGGAGATACACGTTCGGGGGAGGGGTTCTGTTCTTATACATCAAAGTATTGCTTGCTCCTGCACTTTGGCATTCTTAAGATCAGTTTTCTATCCAGCCCCACTGACCAGGCAGCAGGCTCCGCGACACGCAAGCACGGTTCAGAACCAGGGACAGCAGTCCCGCTTAGAGCCAAATGGAAAGAGGCTTGTCTAACCCGTAGGACACCCCTAAATTCACACAGGACAGCCATATAGTGCAGACAGAAGGCCAACAGAGTCATGGAGCACTAATGACATCCGAGGACCCTACTCTGATTATTCCTACCTCCTCCTTGAGATGGGGGGGGGGGAGCTTTGGGGCATGGGCTTAGGAACCTAGTTGATGAACGCATGGAGGGATATAAGTCTGGAAAGAGTTGTCCTTGCTGCAGTATTGAAAACTATGCAGAACCAAGGGAATGTGATGCCAACATTGTGAAGTATGCATTAATGCCCTAGAGCCTTGATTCACTGAACAGAAAAGATGGGAGGGGAGTATGGGTTTCCCAAAACCCTGAGCAGGTGTGTCATCTGAAGTGCTTTCACCTACATTCTTTGAACTTCTTTGCACCACAAGTATTAGTGGAATATTCTTCCAACTATAGCTCTCCATTGATCTACCCACCTACACATCCACAACCTCTCCCCCCAACACACCTCAGGATTTCCAGCAAGGACAAAGTGCAGGTTAGATAGCCACTATTTACAGTACTTGAACTCTCCTGTATTGCCATTTTGAAATAAAACTCTATATTTAGGATAATTCTACATCCCTCTAAGAAAAGAAAAAAGTAGCTACAGAATATATCAAGCCATTGCCCTAAGGGTTTTGTGGGAATTGACACTCTTATGTAGTAGTTGTAACAAAGTGAGATAAGAAGGATGGAGGTGAAACTGTTATTTTATTAAAATTACGAGTTAACTTCTCTGATGCTTCATTTTTTAGGGCAGGTAATGGAAGCTGCAGATTTCTGATAAAGAAGAGACTCAGGCAAAACAAGGAGTAAAAGCCTCTCTTGGAGTTTCTAAGTAGAGAGAGGACCTACTTAATTTTTCCAGCATTTTTTTTTCACTTTCCTCCTTCACTATAAAAATAGAGTGCATTTTCATTAAGAATATTATATTAAGCAGATTTTTTAGAAGAGAAGAGGTCCTTTTACTGGAAATGGTCTATGGGCAAATATATTTTAGTGGAATCCTGGAAAAACATTTTCCTATTCAAAATTTGCAGACAGTTTTTTCTGTCTAATGCTGTGGTAGCTCTTAATTTGTTTCAGAAATCAGACAGTTGATGGTGGTTTTTGGATAGAAGATATCATTCTCATATCCCTACCTTTTATGAAACCTGTGGATTAAAATCTACACAAGACAGAGGGAAATAGGTCTTTCCTTCCCATGCACCTTCCATCCATCTTAATAAACAACTTTGCAACTAAATAGATAAGGACATTCTTATGCATTTTATCCCAGTGGTCTTACTTCAATGAAAAAAAAAACGTGCAATTTTATAGTTACTCATAATAGTGGCTATTTCTCAGTTATAATTTCCTAGCCATTCCAAGATAGGCATTCCACAGTTTAACTACAAATAGCTATAGTGAAAGGGAGGATATCTAAGATGTCTTACTTTTTTGCAACAGTACCACCTTTTCTTTTCCAATATACAAAACATAACACTTGGAAATACATTTTTCTTTTTAATTCTTGGCAGAGTATTTTAAATAGCCCTAAATACTGGGAGCCATGTGCGAGCTCTCCATAGGGGGATTTCACATTTCCTCAGCGATGACAGAAACAAGGCAGGTGGGTGCAGAGGATGAGGTCAGAGCTTCAGTTTGCTGCAATCCCATAAAAATGCCAGTGGCATGGCTGCATCGGGATGGATGGAAGTTGAGGCTTTGCTCTGAAGCTGCTCCTAGAGAAGGACCATAAGTAACTGGAAAAAATGTGGGATCCTCAGAGACATCCTTCTGAAGAAGGCTTTGGGGTTAAACAGTGGCAGTAGAGCCACCTAAAAACTTTAAGGGACATTTTAAAAACATTTAATTGACTTTTTCATTTATATAACTCCAAAGGATATGTTTTCCTCCTCATTAATTGATTAAACTCATTAAGTTGTGTTCACCTAAGGAGGAAGAGAAGCTTTGGAGTGAAGCTATAAATAGCTAATATCTCTTCTTATGTGTGAAGTCGTTAATTTATAAAACTCAAAATTACCTAAACTGTCATTATCTTGTATATAGTGCTGTCATTAGCTTCGCCTGAAGAAAGTGCTAAAATGGAGATTCCTGGACCATACCCTGGAAGATTCCGAACCATTATGTCTGGGGTGTAGCCCAGGAGTAGAGTATTCATTTTCAACAAGTACCTTGGACCACCATTGAAGAAAAGTGGTATATGCCTTACTAATCTCCAAAGTCTATTCACCACCATATTCAATGTTTACAAGTACTTGGATTATTGCCACTTTTTTCATCAGCTGAGCACAATGAGTCAATTTCACCTCAGAATTTTTTGTTTGTATGGAAATCATTGAGTATATTACAGAAACCATAAAGGGTAAGAAATAGCTATAAAAATTTTAGTAAACCCACCTCATGTAGTAAAAAAAAGTTGATTGAAAAATAAACAGAGACTTCTCTCATTAAGGGTATGTATGCCTGTGTATGTAATTGAATTTTCAAACTATATACACTTTGTAAGGTCCCAATAGTCCTAACACATTCCACGTACAAATATTCATACATTTAGGTTTTAAGACAAATTTTCTACTTTTATAAACTTTTTTGATGTAACTACATTTCATCTCAGAGTAGAAATATCTGAAGAAGAAGAAAGAAATGGATATAAAAATGGAGAAAATTATTTAGAGTAAACAGGAGTAAATGTTAGAAGTAAAGATGGTTTATTTTTTAGAATAAAATTAGATTTTATAGTATATTTTGAGTGATAAAGAACTAATTCTAAAGGATAGATTGAGCAGAGGTGAATTTATTTAAATTTGTGGTAATCTAATCCTTACTTGAAGTGCTAGCATTTAAAAATACACTGAGTTACATTTTTGTATATGTTTTCTATTGCTTGAACACAAAATACTTCAGGTGACTTTTCTTATGAGCTGCTAAAGCTTTTTATCCCATAACAAGTTTTTCAATTTTTAACTTTTAACATGCATGTAGGGGAATACTGTGACGCTTCACTATAACCCTGTTCATTTACAGCATTAATCTCTACAGACAAACTTGATATTTCCTATCTTTCCTAATGTTCCACTTGGTTTTATTTAGAAGCATATTTAATTGCGTAGTTGTAGACATAATATTGCAATTAATCTACACCGAGGCAAACATCTACCTGAAAAAAAGAAAAAAAACACACAGAGAGGGGGAAAAAAAGTGTCACAAAATACTTCTAAAATCTAGCTGCCCACCACCCTGTAGACAAAACATTTGGAGCATAGGCAGAAGTTTAAAACTTGTCTTTTAATTTAAATAATTACTTAAATAAATATCTGCTTGATTTGCTAGACTCCGTTTAGATAGCTAAGAATCTACTCAAAACATTGAATTACAGAATATTTAATGCTTGAAGCCTCTGTTGTACATATCTTAAAAAGTGCTTCATGCAAGGATTTCTGCTCCAGTTCAAATGAAGTTAGGGCTAACTTTAGAGACGTTATCTTTGCTGTAAATATTAGATTACTAAGGTTGTGGCTATTTCTCAGTTATAATTTCCTAGCCATTCCAAGACAGACTTTCCACAGTTAAACTACAAATAGCTATAGTGAAAGGGAGAATTTGCCATCCCATAATATGCCTCCTTAGCATAAGGAATATTTTAGGCTGATTATTTTTAAGAAATAGCAGACCCAGGAGAAGCTCCGAAAGCCAGTAGAAGTTACCCTTCTTGGAAGAGCCATTTATATTTATAAGGGAAATCTCCATTTGTAAGATATGTAAGGTGACAGATTGGGCATTCCAGGAACGTATTCATTTTTCCTGGATACCTCCCCTCCATACAGGAGGTTATACATGTTACCAAAATTGTGTTTAACGCATCTTTTTATTACAGCCAAGAACCTAGAGAGGTAGAGAGAAAATTATTCCCCAGTGCCTGGAAGAGAAGGATGACTAAATCTGTAGGAAGTCTTATCAATTGAGAAGGTAGGAATTTAAATCTTCAAAATCGCCATGCCTCCAGTTTACTGTGCTTGCTAGGTAACTTCCTATATCTGCCTCCCCCCCACCCCCGATTTTCCTCCCCTGCATGTTTCTCCAAAGTACTTCTGCTAAATTTACAGATGACAGAAAAGTGGTTAAAAGTTATAATTAGCACAGTTCCGAAATTGTTTGACCACCGTGGGTGTCAGCACAATTCATGTGCTTAAATTTCAGTATTTCAATTGGGATGAGCATTCCAGATATGATAACCTATTCAGATAGATGTAAAGAGAAGAATTCATCCCTCTACTACTGGGTTATATCTATGTGATATCTTCAAAATTAGTGTGGGTAATCAAGAAATTTTCCTCTACTCTCCTAGGTTCTTTCAGCTGGTCTAATAATTAAATCTACATGAGACA